TCAGCAAATTTACCCACTGTTTGAGACCCTTTTATGGCTGTGATACAAATTAGTATCTTCCTTCTCTGAGACGACCCTCATGTCAATAACTAGGCATGGATAGATATTGGTAAACATCAGGTTCATTTTTTTTGGTGGCCAAGAACTGCATATCATGAAAATGTTTGCTCCTTTGTTTCTCAGCCCTTCCTGCTCTCTTCAAAGAAGAGTTAAGAAATGAGGAAGCCACAGAGGGGGAAGCAGTGACTCTGCGCTGTGAGCTGACCAAGACTGCTTCAGTGGAGTGGAAAAAGGGACACACAGTACTCAAACCTAGCGAGAAATACAAAATGAGGCAGAAGGATGTCACTGCAGAACTGGTGATCCATAATCTAACTGAGAATGATGCTGGTGATTACACCTGTGTGTGTGGGGATAAGCAGACCACAGCTTCCTTAGCAGTACATGGTAATAACCAATTTCATCTAGACGTCCTCATTATCGAGCTTACGGTTTGAATTAATTTTTTCTCCATGTTCGTTGTTATCTCTGCATAGCTCCTCTGAGTCTGACTTTGCGTGTCATAGTCATGAGAGTTATTGTTACCTAAGGGAATACGCTTCATCTCATTTCCTAAAACAAAGTGTTTTTAGGATCTGATCCCTAAAGTAGATGTGAGATCAGGCCCGAAGACATCTCCCCACTGATGCCCTCGCCTTTCTTTCCCCTACCCCTGCCCTTCACCAAGAAGCTGTTTTGCTGCTCCATTCTAACCCTCTGCCCGTTGAATCCTCAGCACTGCCTGCACGCATCAAGGAGAGCCTGAAGGACGAGGAGGTAACCGAAGGTCAAGCAGCCACTCTGCGCTGTGAGCTGACCAAGGTTGCTCAAGTAGAGTGGAGAAAAGGAAGCAGTTTGCTCAAAGTCAGCGACAAATACAAAATGAGACAGGAGGGCACGGTCATGAAGCTGCTTATCCATGACGTAGAGTTGAAAGATGCTGGAGAATACACTTGTGTGTGTGGAGGACAGGAGACAACAGCTGCCTTGATAGTACACGGTAAAAACCGTATACATGTGTCTGTATGATTGTGGTTTTCTCTACCAGCTCATTGCTGTTGGTTGTGTGTTCACCTGTGGCTGAACGTGTTTCTTTGAATTTGTAAGCTGTCTCTAAGATCTGGTTGCATCCAGGCTGCTTTTCTGTTTCTGTCTATTGGTTTGTCCAATGTCACAGAATAACGAGGAAAGGAAATTCTTTCCACCCTGAAATGTTCTCTGCTTCTGTACCACCCCATCCCTCCCATCACCCATGTGCCACGTGTCATTTTAATGTCCTCTGTCCATTTTGTGACCTTCAGCCCTGCCCGCGCTTTTCAAAGAAGAACTGAAGGACCTGCAAGCCATGGAAAGCCAGACAGCCACTCTGCGCTGTGAGCTGACCAAGGCTGCAACTGTGTCATGGAAGAAAGGAAACAAACTACTCAGGGCAAGTGAAAAATACATCATGCGGCAGGATAATTCCCTTGCCGAGATGGAAATTTGTGATCTAGATCTTCAGGATGCGGGAGATTACACCTGTGTGTGTGGAGACCAGCACACCACAGCTTCTCTGACAGTGAATGGTAAATTCTTCTTGCGGATGACTGTTCATTTTTTGGTTCTCTGAAACATCCTGTGGCTGTACGAAGTGTTCACCTATCAGCTTTTTCCTAGGAATTGACTTGTGTCCAGGAAAGGAGAACTTCTTGTTCTGGCACGTAATTTTGGTCTGATGTTCCTAAAAAGGGAGCTGAGGACATGGCTATGTCTCCATGCAGCCAAACTCCTATGTTGTAAGTTTAAGGGAATAGTGCCTAGGAAATGCCTAGGGTCGCCTAGTGATAAATTCTTTAGGTTGCATCTTGAATCCATCCAGCTTGTTGTACTTTGACCTGTCAGCTCAGCATTTCTTTTCTTACTGTCACTGCTGGATTTTATTGTTCCACATTATCGTAGTGATAACCTCAGCCTCGATGGCTGATGTCCCTGACTTGGCCAGATTTGAACTTCAGTTGGGAGTTCATGGTGCTGATCACACATGCAGAGGTCTTAGTTTAAATCCGTTGTCTATTGGCTTTCCATTCCCAGCCCTGCCGGTGGTTTTCAAGGAAGAACTGAAGAATGAAGAAGTCCTAGAAGGTGCATCTGTCTCTCTGCGCTGTGAATTAAGCAAAGCAGCTCCAGTGCAGTGGAAAATGGGGTCCAAAGTGCTCAAAGCAAGTGACAAATATCAAATGAGACAGCCTGGCACCACTGCAGAGCTAGTCATTCATGACCTAGAAGTAAAAGATGCTGGAGATTACACCTGTGTGTGTGGCGACCAGAAGACAACAGCAACCTTAACAGTTCATGGTAAAAAGACCTTATTAAAATGGATAACTATCTCTGTAGATAGACATCACTCTGAAATTCAGCTGTTTCTGCTCTGAGTCAGTACCTTGTATTAGTTTTTATCCCTTTCTCTTCCTTCATTCTATGTATAGATCACTTCTTACTGAGAAAGAATAGCTCAGGGCAGTTTTTTTGGGTCATTATTAATCTATTCCCCTTTAAAAGGCAGGAAGGAGATGTTTATTTCTGCCCAAGTCTCCTCTTTTTGGACATTCACATTTTCCAGCTCTTTTTCCCCCTTCATCCCCATGGTTCCCTTCAGCTATCCACAGGGTCAGGCCCTCTGTTCTCCAAGCACTGCTCGAAGGAGAAGTGAGGGTTGAAGCAGCAGAAGGAGAGGGACATATCCCTGTGCTGTGTGACATGGTCACGGTTGCTCCTGGAGGTACCAAATTCTTTAAGCCAGTCAGACATGCAGAATAAGAGAAGAGTGACCATTTCAGAGCTTGTTACCCTTCATTTAGGTTTGAAGGATGCAGGGGTCTACACCTCTGTGTGGCCATCAGGACTACCTTGACAGGTATTAAAAAACCCCAACAACACAGGTTATCAGAAGTTATACTCTTCTTTATCCTGCTAGCTCCCAATGAACCAATCCATAAATAAATCCTTGTGTTACGTTGATGATCTCATTACCTGATGTTCTGCTTTCCTCTCATTAATGACTATCCATTTTAATGGAGTAACAGTCCTTGGAGCTTACTTGGTCAGAGAGCCAGTTTGGTCCCTTCCAGCTTTTTCCAAAAACTTCTGACCCTCCCCTGGGCTTTCCTGAGACATGGACTTTTTCTGAGGTATCTGAGGAGTACTGGTTGTATACTGTACCCTCTTACAGTAGTTGTGCACGGAGCACATTTGTGGGTAAATATTAATAATTCATTTTCCTGGAGGTTATTTCCTGAAGGTTGTTCTGTCTTTGGATTTTGCTTTTCAA